GAAGCGCCTGGAAGCCCCTTGAGGCACTGACGATCCTCGACTGTGGAGGCAGGCCCGCAGGACTGGAAGGTCAAGCATGCTGCGCATGAATCTCCCATAGTCTAGACGCTTCGGACAACCCCACCAGCCCATCCAGAAACGATGCCCAGACGAGTTGCCCTGATCCGGGATGTGGAGGAACATGCAGTGGAATAAGGGGCTGGGTAAGACGTCATACCCCAAGAGGAGGAGGAGGATGGAGGAGAAATCGGAGGAGAGGAGGAGGGGGAGGAGGGAGGAGGAAGAGGAGGAAGAGGAGGAGAAGGAGGAGGAGGAGGATGAGGGCGAGCAGAAAGGCTAGAGGCCTCTTGTATGCCTCTCGAAGTCTTTTCGAATTTCTTTCGAGAGCTTTTTGGAGTCCTCTTGGGGCGTCATGGGGGTCTCTTGGCAGTTCAGGAGGCCTCTTGGGCATCTTGGGTGCCTCTGGGGGGACTATTGAGGCCTCTTGGGCGTCTCTTGGGAGCCTCTTGGGGGGCATCTTCGGGGCCCCTTGGGGCCTCCTGGGCTCCTCTTGGGGCCGTCTTGAGGCACCCTTGGGAGCCTCCGAGGCCATCTTGGGGCCATCTTGGAGATCAATCGAAGGAGGGGGGGCAGAATAGATTAGCAGCTCCCCCCAGGAGGCCAAAAGGTCCCCCAAACCTTAATAGCATCAGTACTTTTTGTCTTCTCGCCGAGGCTGTTTTGGATGCTCCAACGACCCACCGCCCCCCCACCCTTCGGTGGAGGAACACCCCTCCCCGAAGTTGAAGGGGGTTGGAAGAGGAAATACTCTAAACCTCTCACGCCCTGAAGCGCTGGTGGGTTTTCGGAAACCTGGCCCGGTAGGCCTTGGGGCCGCAGCACACCAGGGGCCCCCAAGGTACCTGAAGGGCCCCCTCTTCCTGGAGCCTTCCCAGAGCATCTCCTGGGCCCCCCCCAGGAGGCTCCCGGAGCTCCACAGCGGTTCCAAGAGGCCCCCAGGAGGCTCCCAGCTTACAGAAGGGTCCCAAGACGACCGCAAGACGCTGCCAGAGCGCCAACAGAGGACACCCAGGGGGGCAAAATCAGACAACCTCGTGGTTCTTCAATTGTTTTCTGGAGTTCTCACTTGTCGCCATGAGGTGGTTCCAAGATGGACTCGGTGGTCCAAAAGGCTCCCAAGGGGGCCCCAGCATTGCCCCTGGACTGCCCCGCGAGAGCTCCAAGAGGGCTGGCGACGGCCTCCCGAGGAGCCCCAGACGGCCCGAGACGGCCCAAGAGGGCCCCAACGGGGCCCAAGACGGCCCGAGAGGACCACGGAGGAGGAGGAGGAGGAGGAGGAGGAGGAGGAGGAGGAGGAGGAGGAGGAGGAGGGACGTGGAGGAGGAGCGAGGCTCACGATGCAAGACGGCCCAGGGGGGTCCGGCCCGAGTCGGGCCAAGGGGCCCCCAAGACGACCCCTCGAGCGCGCGTCCGGGCGACCGTCCCGACCGCATGCATTGGCCCTCCCCCGGTGCGGCGTGCAGGCCACGGGCCACCCCCGGGAGCCCCACGAGGCAGCCCGAGGGAGCGCCCGGCAGGCTCCCCGGGGACGCCCTCCATATGCGGGCCCGCGTGGCGCGCCCGAGGAGCCCTCACGGACGAGAGTCACAGGAGGGGTCGCGGGGAGCAGGCCCCCAGGAGGTTCCGCACCAGGCCTCCAACTGCGAACTGCCACCATTCGTCCCCAGACCTCCTCCTCACCCTCCTCTTTTTCTGGCTCCTCCTCATGATCCTCCCCCCTCTCCTCTTCCTCCCCATCTTCGTCCTGTTCTTGATCCTCCCTCCTCGATCCCTCTTCCTTCGCAATCCATCTCCTCTTGCTTCCGACCTGCCCTTGGAATCCCCCCCCCTCCACCTGCCCTGATTCCACACACCATCCTGTCCCTCCCTGTTTTTTTACTGATGGGATAGTGGAGCCAGGGAGCGACAGCGGGGCAAAACATACAATACCCTCTATATGCAGCACCTACTTCAACTTTAGAAGTACATTCATAGCCCGAATGCCAAGCCCCAGTGCGACCTCAGCCACCAACGCGTCGGCTTCCAAGCCAAGGGCTCGATCATCCCTCTGGCGCCCTATACGGTAGGTCCCATGGCAAGTAGAACTTTAGAGCGCGCGACGCGCGCACGATGGTTTTAGTGGTAGACTGTCCGCCACCGCTGGCATTGCATGTGCGGTGCCAGGCTTGTGGGGACTTGAAGTGGATTCTATGAAGATCCCCCCTCGCCCTCTTTCCCTCTCTGGGCCGTGCTGGAGCACAAGCTGATTGAAGTCGTAATGGTGGAAATCCCAGTGGGCATGACCAGGTCTTGCTGGAGTTTTTCTTAGTCGTGTTCACAGTGGCCGAATGAGCTCCTCCTCCTCCTCATCCTCACCCCTCCTAAGCTTCCCTTGCCTCTCAGTTTCGGCATGACATGCAGCCATCCAGCACGCCCGCTCTCTCCCTCTCTCTGTCTGTCTGTCTGTCTGCCTGCCTGCCTGCATGCCTGTCTGTCTGTCTGTCTCTCTGTCTGTCTGTCTGTCTGTCTGTCTCTCTGTCTCTCTGTCTGTCTGTCTGTCTATCTGTCTGCCTGTCTCTCTGTCTGTCTGTTTCTCTCTCTCTCTCTCTCTTTCTTTCTTTCTTTCTCTCTCTCTCTCTTTCACTATCAAGCCACGGGTCTCCAGGGCCAGCCTGCCTCTTGCAAGTTGGCTGGTCTGGTGTTTCCAGACTGTTTAGCGACCTTTGTGGTGGAAGCCCTGAACCGCGATGTTTCGAGACCATGTGGACACGCCGTTTTCTTCTTAGCAAGCCAGGCTGCACATGTCCTGTGGTGTGCACCCCGCCGCAGTCGCCGTCACTATCATCCCCCCGTCATATGAGCCACCCTCATGTGACGCGCGCTATCCCCTGCTCCCAGGACAAAATGCCGCCAGAGCTCCGCAGCTGCTCGAGCATATCATGATTCGTGGCGCCTCCGTCGCTCGACCGGGAACCTCTCCTCGAGCTGTCCCTGAGCTCCCACGACAGGGCGTGACCGTTCTCTTTGTTGGCTTTCTGAACAAGGGCTCCCTCGAGGGCGCGAAGTTATTCGCGCTTCGCGCTTCGCGGTCCTCGTTCCTTCTCCCCCTCCTCCTCGTCCTCCTTTTCTCCCTTTGGGAGGGCGGCGCGAGAGCGCGAAGTTATTCGCGCTTCGCGCTTCGCGCAGCGCGAAGCGCGAAGTTGGGAGCCCTAGCTGACCTGACCCCCTAACGTAAATAGCCGTTTCAGCGATTCCCCCCCTCTCCATGCGCCCAGTCAGTCGAGAAGTTCGCTGGACGCGGACAATGCAAGTGTCGCAGTATTCCCTTGCGCCTGAGCGATCTCTGGGCAGTTTTGGGGCGCGTTGCGTACCCCTTCATGGCGGCCCTCTTCGGACGAATCTCCCCCAGGGCCGCCTACGATCCGATTCGATGCGATTCGATTCGCGCCGGCTGGGGCCGCGAGTCGATTCGGCTCGGTTCACCGGCATCGGCCAGGGCCAGCCAGAGCTAAGCGCGGCGATCCGATTTCGGTCCGAGTCGGGACGATTATTTTCTCGTCCGATCCGTTTCCGATCCGATCCTGCTTTGCGGTTCGATCCAGCTAAGGCCTGCCAGTGCTGCGCCGAAGGGCTCTCGGGAGCGGCGCGCGCGCGCGGAGGACGTCTCCTGCGTGCTGGCGTGCGCCGTCGGCGCCGCCATGTGCGCCGCCTTCTCTCAGAAGCCCGCCGCCTGGAGCCAAAGGTCGGGGGGGGCGGGGCAGGGCCCGCACAGTCAAGACGCTGAAGTAAGGGCCACCTTGTCATCGAGGATAAAAGAACCGCTCACCCGAATGGCACGATGAAGACGTGGCCTCACTGAGGCTTGCACCAGGGATCATGACTACGGGCGGCCTGGTTCGGAACATCTGAAAAACGATCCCCTGGCCCTGATGCTCTTGGCCCTCCCGACTCGGGTCCCCTCCAGAATGGTCAGGGGTCCCTGTCTGGTTACTCGGCCGAGACGCCGAGAGAAGGACCACCCTGGGCTCTCGGGAGGGGCCCGGGCTCTCGGGCCGCCTCATGGCTCTCGAGGTCGGGGGACCTGCTCGTGGCCGAGGCTCGCCGTGACCACGAGCGCCCCTCTGATCCGTCTGGCGCATCTCTCGAAGGCGTATCATCTCGAAGGCGCAGCTCGAAGGCGTATCTCTCGAGGGCGTATCATCTCGAAGGCGCATCTCGAAGGCGTATCTCTCGAAGGCGTATCATCTCGAAGGCGCATCTCGAAGGCTTTATCGCTCCGTATGATGTATCTCGGAGAGGAAACAGCAGCTTAAACATAAGCTGCTGGCGCTCCGCGCGGATTTTTTTGGATCCGCGCTGGGGCCCCCCCGGCGGCGCCTCCAGCGCCGCCCCTGGCGCGCTCCGCGCGTCAGGGAGGGGGACCCACCGCGGATCCAAGAAATCGGCGCGGAGCTCCAAAAGTGTATGTTCATGTTGTTTTTCTTTCTTCCGGTATCACGATGAGGAGTCGGAGGGGGCTAGGACGAGGATAGATCGTTCCAGAGCGTTCTGCAACGCTCTCGGAGCGTTCGTTCAGGAGCGGGAGCGCTCCGAGCAGGCCGCGGCGCCCGTGACATTCTCCAGAACCGCCGGATCTTAGAGATTCTCGGTTGACCCTCATTCAATTTTATCTTCGTCCCGGCTTCGTCTTAAGTCAACGAGCGCGTCCTGCTACTCGCAGGGTGCATACTCGCGCAATCGCCCGAAACAAAAACAAACATTTCTTCCTATATGTAATGGATTGTGAATCCCCCGCGGCGGATCCAGGCTATTTGCGAGTAGTTACTTTGCGAGTCGTGGAACGCGCCTTGTCTATCAAGGAGAGGAGGAGGAGGAGGAGGAGGAGGAGGAGGAGGAGGAGGAGGAGGAGGAGGAGGAGGAGGAGGAGGAGGAGGAGGAGGAGGCGGAGGGGATGCCTGGCGCAGTGCCGGGAGGAGGACCCGCGCCGCCTCCCTGCGGGCCGCTGTTCTTCTCCTGCTCCGTATCCGGCGGCGAACGAGGGGGGAAGTGAGAAGGAGGAGGCCTCCTTAGAAGGCGGCGGGACTTCTCAGAAGAACCCTTGCGCCATCTGAGAGATGTTTTGTGTCTTGGGGAAAGGCTCTTAGTGGGCCCTGGAAACGACAGGGCTGTTTTTGTTACCAGTTCTGCTTTGCAGTTTGTTGGCCGGTTCCGGCGCCTTTTTTTGCCGATTCCGTCGCCGTTGTTTTGTTGTTTCCGGCTCCGGCTCCAATTTTCCAGAGCCGTTTTTTCGTTGTTTCTGGCTGCCGTCTTTTCACCGCTTCCATTTTCAAGAGACGCTATTTCGGAAACGATGAAAAAACGGCTCTTCCGTTTCCGGGCCCACTAAGGGAAGGCTTGAGAAACTTTTCAGAAGGCCGAGGGACTTCCGAGCCTTCTGAGAGGGCCTTCTCCTCCTCACGTCCCCCTCTCGCTCGCCGCTGATGCAGGGTAGCACGAGGACTGCACATACCCTCCGACCACTCGACACCTCCGAGCCTCTGGACTCCAGACCCCTCGACTCCCTCCCTCCCCAGGCTTGGCTCTTCCTCCTGGGGCGCTTTGCTGCTGGCCCTGGGGCCCGAGGACGGCCTCCAGAGGCTGACGGTGCAGCAAAGCCTCAGGCCCGATAAAAAAAATAATAAAAAAATACAAAAAATAAAAAATATAAAAACATAAAAAAAAGAAAAGCCTCAGGCCCGATGCTCTCGAGCCTCTGGAGGCCCGGGGAGGGGGGCGGCGAGGGAGTGGAGGCTCCCGCGGGGCGCCCACGTCCGGCCCGCCTCTCGACGAGCACACTCCATAGGGCACGGGACTCCGGGCCTCCCCAAGTGGGTTCCGCGCAGGGCGGTGTCGGGAGGATCGCGCCGCATCGCCGATGCGTGGGCGATGCAGCTCGATGTGGAGCTCGATTTTCTCCACGCCAGCGTCGCCGATGCATCGCCGATGCCTCGGCGATGCGGCGCGGTCCTCCGACCCCATCTACTCGCAACCCCATGTGGGAGGCCTCCAGATGAGTTCGTGTATCGTTTTGTGGACAGGAGCAAGTGCCCTGGACGCAGCATCGAGCGAGCTTGCAGCCCTTCCGGCACTGTGCAGCTGACAGCCAACAGCGGAAGCTTGGGGCTCTTGCGCTTGTGCGCTTGAAGAAAGAAGTAATCATGAGGGAGGAGGGGGCCCCAGGGCGCCAACCTCCGGCCCGCCTCGACGAACGCACCAGGGCGCGGGTTGCCCCACCCAGCCACTCCAGATAGGGGACAAACAACAACATCAGCATAAACACTCGGAGGTCCGCGCGCATTCGTCGGATCGGCGCTGGGCCCCCCCCCTCCCTGGCGCGCGGATCGCCCCGGGGGCGGCGTAGGAGGCGCGGCGCCGCCAGGAAGCCCCAGCGCCGAGCGGAGGAGAGCCCGCGCGGAGATTCAATTGTTTGCCCCCCTGGCTCAGCCAGGGCCGATCGGACTTCTCTGGCCACGGTCGGCCTCTGCCACGAAGAGGTTCCTCGGCCTTCGGTGGTGAACCTCTGCTTGGCGTGCGGCGGCCCCGGCGACACGCTGCTCCGCTACCAGGGGCCTCGAGCCCCCCCCCCGGTTCTTGAGGCCTCGGCGCCGCCCGCCTGCCCGCCCCACGGACAGTAATGAGCGCATGCCGCCCCGCCCCAGCCCCTCCAGAGACCTGGATCCTGGAGCCCCGAACCTCCCCAGACCACCTCGCGAAGATCACTTGGTTTTTGTTGTTCGGGGTACTTTTGAGTTATCCCTTCTGAAGTTCTGAAGGAGAGCTGTTGTTGATGCCCCCCCCCCACCAGTGCCCATTCTTCACTTTTCAGTTAAAGTGCTCCCCCTCTGGGGCTCGTGCCCAGCTCGGTATCAAGAAACAGTTTTCTGGTCAACCTGTGCCTCTGGCTCCTTGTTTAATTATAATAACAGCAACAACAGCAACAATACATGTAATATTGTTCCCTCTTACCTGCTCGCTTGCCACTCAACACGTATATCCCAAACCATCGATACACGCCCTCTTCGTCTTCGATCTTATTCCCTTGGGGGTCTGTTTTCCTTACCTGCCGCGTCTAATTAGTGCAGTCCCTGAAACATAGGAAGAGCGGACGGATGGAAGGTGGAGGGAGAAGGATGGAGCACAGCATTAGCACGAGGGGGGCTAGGAGCAGAAACCGCGTGTCAGAACCAGACGGGCTGATCGGGCGGGTAGACCCTGACGGGTGGGTCAGGAAGGCGGGCCCAAACTGCCAGGTCGAGAAGGCGGCCAGCTGAAGCATGAGTGCTGCATGAATTCCGAGGAAGTCTTGAGCGACAGCGCGATTCCCAAGTGAGTCGCGAGAAAAACCATGATTCGCGAGAAGAACCAGAGCGAAAAAGCGATTCCTGAGCGTCGAGGGCGCGGCGTTTGAATTCACTGCGCGGAAGTCCCATGCGAGAGCATGATCCTTGCGCAACTTGTGAGGAAGTCCCGCGCGAGAGCGCGGTTTTGGAGTTGTGAGGAGGTAACAGGCGGGAACCGTTGTTGCTGTAACTCGGGGGCCAGGGGCCCAGTTTGGCGACCCCAGGCTTTTCCGTGCAAAAAGAAGGTGCGAGCCTCCGGGAGGAGCACGTCCATTGGGAAGGCACAGTGGTAACCGAAGGGGGGGAATCAATCACAAATTCTTGTTGAAAATGAGAACTCAACAACGGCTCACGCTTGATAACTCGTCGCGGCTTACTCGGAATCGCACACTCTCTCGAGACTTCTCCACACCTTGGTCAGAAATCGCGCTCTCGCCTAGGATCATGCAATTTACTCAGGCGTTGGGTTCTCGACGCGCAGGAATCGCGCTCTCGCACGAGACATCCTGACACTTTGCTCAGGCCATGTGATCTCGCCTGAGGCTCTCGCCTGAGACTTCTTCGCGACCAGCCCGTTGGGGCCCGCCCGACCCGCCTGTGAGGGTCCGTCCATCCCTCCTGCTTGGAGAAGCCCGCCCGCCTCGATGCCCCGCCCGCCCCGCTCGTTAGAAGGTCCGCCCGCCCGACCCGTCCCTTAGGGTCTGCCCGCCCGGCCCGCCTGTGAGGGACCGCCCGCCGATCTGCTCGTCAGGGTCCGCCCGTTCGCGTGCTTCGACGACGACGGCGGCGACGACGGCGACGACGACGGCGACGACGACGACGACGGCGACGATGACGACAACGACGGCGACGACGACGACGACGACGACGGCGACGACGACGACGGCGACGACGGCGACGACGACGACGACGACGACGGCTACGACGACGACGACTACGACGACGACGACGACGGCGACGACAGCGACGACGACAGCGACGACGACGACGGCGACGACGACGAGCGCTCTCGGGGCCTCTTGGGGGTAGTTTTGGGGCCTCTTGGGAGGCTCTTGGGGGCCTCTTCTTAGCCTTGTGGGGGCCTCTTGGGGGTTCCAGGGGGTCTCTTGGGGGCCTCTTTGAACCCCTTGGGGGGCTTCTTGGGGGCATCTGGGGGCCTCCTGGGGGCCTCTCAGGCCGAGGGCTCGAATTTTCCTTTCGGGTTCCCCGTCTGGGCTCCCTCTTGGAGCCGTCTTGGAGGCGTCTTGAGCTGTCTTGGAGGCCTCTTGGGCGGTCTTGGGGCCTTCTTGGGTCGTTTTGGGGCTCCCTTGGAGGCCTCTTGGGCGATCATGGGGGCCTCTTGGGCTGTCTTGGAGCGTTGGGAAGCCGACAAGGCGAGAACGCCAACGTCTTTCAAACAATGAAAGACATTCTGTGATTTTTTCCCCGTGGGGGCCCTCGTGGGAGTGCTCTTGATGGCCACTTAGGACGTTTTGAAAACCTCTTGAGCCGTCTGGAGGCTATTTTGGCGTCTTGGACCGATAGTTCGGCGATTCGGGGCCCTCGGGGACCGTCTTGGGGGCCTCTTGAGGCCCTCATGCTGCGTCTTGGGGCTTTTCTGGGCCCCTGAACCGCCGTGGGGGATGCGCACCTGGGGGCGACCCCCCCCGGGACCCCCCCCCGGGACCCCTCCCAGGACCCCCCCCCCAAGGGAGGGGATCAAAAGGAAGAGGCTTCCCTTCGACTCAGCTACGACGTTGCTCAATGTCGGTTTGGCTGGCGCGCCTAAGGAGGAGGGCCCAGGGGAAGGAGACGGGGGACGACGGAGACGCAGACGACGATGGAGGAGACGGCGAGGAGACGACGGCGACGACACGACGACGAGGTCCCAGGGAAAGGAGAGGGGGGACGACGGAGACGACGATTGACAGAGACGACGAGGAGGCGACGGAGACGGAGATGACGACGGAGACGACGAGGAGACGACGGAGACGACACGACGACGACGGCGGCGACCAACGGACAAGCGCCTTCCACACGCCACCTATAAGCGGCAGGCAAGGAAGGTGCAACCCCAAGGGGGCACGGTCGAAGACGAAGAGGGCGGGTATCGAGGATCTTGGATATACATGGTCCAGGGTTTGGGCCCCCCCCCCCCAATGCTGATGCCATTGGGCCTCCCCCCCCCCGCGCGATGGTCCCCCCCGCCCCCCCCTGTGGGCGTGGCGTGGTGCTGCGCTGCGGTTCCCCCCCCCCCCTGTGGATGTGGTGTGGTGCTGTGGTGGTTCAGAGGTGGGCGTGGCGTGGTGCTGCGCTGCGGTGCCCCCCTCCCCCCCCCTGTGGATGTGGTGTGGTGCTGTGGTGGTTCAGAGGTCGTCGTCGTCGTCGTCGTCGTCGTCGTCGTCGTCTCGTCGTCCGTCGTCGTCGTCCTCGTCGTCCTCGTCGTCGTCGTCATCGTCGTCGTCGTCATCGTCGTCGTCGTCGTCATCGTCGTCGTCGCCGTCGTCATCGTCGTCATCGTCGTCGTCGCCGCCGCCGCCGGCGTCGTCGCCGCCGCAGCCGTCGTTGTCGTCGTCGTGGTCGTCGTCGTCGTCGTCGTCGTCGTCGTCGCCGTCGTCGCCGTCGTCGCAGCCGTCGTCGTCGTCGTCGTCGTCGTCGTCGTCGTCGTCGTCGTCGTCGTCGTCGTCTCTGGGACCATACCATCTGGGGGGGGGGGGGCCCGAGGAATCCTGGGACCATACCATCTGCGGGGGGGGGGGGGGCCCGTGGGCCCTCGACCCTGGATCATACATATCGAGTGGCACGCGAGAAACGACAAACGAACTGTCCTCGAGTGATTTCTGTCATTTCTGTTTCCGGTCTCTGGGTCATTCTAGGCGTTTTAGATGGGGTCGGAGTAGATGGGGTCGGAGGACCGCGCCGCATCGCCAATACATCGCCGATGCGGCTCGATGTGCAGCCCGATTTGCTTCACGTCGACGTCGCCGATGCATCGCCGATACCATGCCGATGCATCGCCGATGCATCGCCGATGTATCGACGATGTGGCGAGATCCTCCGACCCCACCTACTCCGACCCCATCTAGGAGGCCTCTAGTCACGTGGCCGTCAAGAGGCGACCCGGGATGGCAAAACTCGACTCACCAGGGAAGGTTGTCGAGGCCTCCGGGGCTCCACGCTGGGAGTAACAGCATCTCTTCAGAGACCTCGAACCTCGATCCTCGAACCTCGAACCTCGATCCTCGAACCTCGAACCTCGATCCTCGAACCTCGAACCTCGATCCTCGAACCTCGAACCTCGATCCTCGAACCTCGAACCTCGAGCCTCGAACCTCGATCCTCGAGCCTCGATCCTCGAACCTCGATCCTCGAGCCTCGAACCTCGATCCTCGAGCCTCGATCCTCGAACCTCGATCCTCGTTCCTCGAACCTCGATCCTCGAGCCTCGAGCCTCGATCCTCGAACCTCGATCCTCGAACCTCGATCCTCGAGCCTCGAACCCCGATCCTCGAACCTCGACCCGCAACCTCGACTGGCGCGTGGCGATCACCCCTCCCCCGTCGGTCCCCGCCGGGGCCGCCGCGGGGCGCTCGGGGGGTTCGGTCCCGGGGCCGCCGCATCCCCGCGGTCCGGCCCGCCCCCTCCACTCTGCCGCTGCCCGCTGCCGGCCGAGGGTCTAGCCCATGACCCCCACAGCCCTATTGTCCTAGCCCTATGGCCCAATAGCCCTATAGCCCTATGGCCCAACAGCCCCACAGCCCTGTAGCTCTATAGCCCTATCGCCCCATAGCTTTACAGCCCCAACAGGTCTAGTATACCTAATGAGCCTCATAGACCTTTGAACGCATTACGTTGGTGTCCTCACCTCCGCCGTCGTCGTCCAAGAGGCGCAACATCAAATCACGTCCCTAGTAAAACAACAAAGACTCGGATGGTTTTTCTCTGGTGTCATGCACGTGGTGTGGAGGAGCGGCGGGCACGAGCAGGAGAAAGAACATCACGGGGAGGAAGATAGCGGTGGGGAGGGGTGCCGTCGAAACCGATGGCAAGGAGGGGTCACCTTCCCAAGGGCAACCGTGCATCCATGCCTCTCGGGTCCATCCTTGACTACTTCTGCGAAGGCCCGCCGCGCTCGACAAAAGCTTCCACACGGGCGTCCAAGGGGCTTGCATGCCTATCGCGCAGCCCTACTACACCTTAGGCGATGCTCAAGAAAACTTACGTTTTCGGCCAGAGTCTCGATTATTCTTAATGTCTCAATTGTATTCCTAAGATTTTGATAAAATTTCGGGGTTTAAATTAAATTCTGAGACTATGAATTTCTTAACCCATGATTTCTTAAGCATTTCGCAGGGTGTACTATCAGGTTGGATTGTAGGCAGAGGGAGGGTGGGACTTCCCAGCTTCCCCCGCTGGGAATCAGTCTGCATCGAGCACGCCGATGCAAGTTGCCCAGCCGACACTTGGCGCGACTGTGACTCTGCAGATGGTCGGTGCCCGGATCGGTTCCAGGATGCGTCTGCGTGCCCCTCGAACATCCTAGAAGCGAGGGACGGCAGCGCTGCTCCAGGGCATCCCAGGGGGTATTTCAGCACGGAGTAGAGCACCTGACGCCCTTGTTCGGCAAGTGCTGTGTTTGTTGGAAGGGGTAGGTGTTTTCGAGGGAAGCCCTGTTGGTAGACTCCAAGTCCAGTCTTGCGGGTCGAGTGTGGCTTATTACGGCTGACTCGGTGGACGAGTATCGTTCGAAGTGGTTGGGCACTCCGCAACGTGGTGCCACGCGTTGTATTATACCCTTGCATGGCGACGAGCACTCGACAGGCGTGTTGTGCGACTGGGTGGACCTTTGACGCTTTGATGTGCTATCCTCTGCGCTGCCCTTGGCACTACACGCTTCTCCTATGCATATATATATACATATGCACACACACAGATGTACGCTTATATGTATGTCTGTCTGTATGTGTGTCTGTCTGTCTGTCTGTCTGTATGTGTGTCTGTCTGCCTGTCTGTCTGTCTGTCTGTCTGTCTGTCTGTTGGGCGGCCAGCAGGGGCTCCAGCGGTGAGACGGGCAAGATGCGGATGTCTATGTTCGCTTTCTGACGCCTCCGTCGGGCTGAATTAAAGAATTTGGCCAGCCAGGGCAGGGGCAGGGACGGATTGGAAACTCAGCAGTTGGCGCCACGGGAGGAGGGACCCAATTATGGCAGGTTGCACCAGAAACAAAGACAGCGTTGTTTCTCAGCCTGCGCCTCATCGGAGGCGTTTCGACCCGCGACTTACCCAGGGACGTATCACGCCACGATCGGGAATTCAAGATTATATTCCATGTTTTTTCACTGGCGTCGTTCTGGATTTCCGTCAGAGGTCGACTTGGGATTGGCTCTCCGATTCTGCCTGTCAGCATCGTGGCCTCCCCCAGCGAACTGGAGCTGTCCAGCTGTCCGTAAGACTGCGGAGCTCGCGCTTGCTTCTTGAGAGGTCACGCCCGACCCCGAACCACAAAAGACCCATGTGCACTGCCATACCTGTCCACGACCTGGCCCGATCAATGCAGCCGTCCGCGTACAAGCAAGCTGGACATGGGCCCAGCGCGACAATCAGGAGTCTGTTTTTTTTTCCGAAGCACTTCTTAGCTGATTTGAGCAATGCGCAACACTGCAATGCATGTCATTGCTTAGCATTGTCTGACATTGTTTGGCATTGCTTTTCATTGCTGGGTATTTCATGGCATTGCTTGGCATTGCTCAGGATCGCTTGGCATTCCTTGGCTTTGTCTGGCATTGCTTTGGATTGCATAGCATTGACTGGAATTGCTTGATATTACTTGGCATTGCCTGGGATTGCTTGGCGTTCCTTGGCATTGCTTGGCATTGCGTGGCATTACTCGGCTTTGCTTGACATTACTTGGTATTGCTGGGCACTGCTTGACATCGCCCAGCATTACGTGAGATTGTTTGGTATTTCTTGCCATTGGCTTGGAATAGCTTTGCATTGCTTGGCGTTGCCCAGTACTGCTCTGCATTGCATTGCTTGGCGTCGCTTGGTGGAGCTTGGCATTGCTTGGCATTGCTTGGCCTTGATGTGCTTTGCTTGGCATTGAATGGCATTGTGAAACATTGCTTGGCAAACAAGGTCGAAGAGCCCCGAGGAACCCCAGGCAACGCCGAGGGCTGCGGAACTCCGAGGAACCCCGAGGAATGCAGCCAGGAGCCAAGACCAAGGAACCCAAGCAACGCCAGGAGCCGCCAATGCAATGAACCAAGACCAAGGAGCCCGGGTAACACCGAGCGCCGCCTCGGTATTGGGGCTCCGCACCCGCCAGTCTTTCACAAGCGAGTGAGACATCTGTATGAAAAGCCTAATTGGGGATGAGCCTGACGCGACCCCAATTAGGGGAAGGCTTCCTATTGCATTGGCGCGTTGCTATGCGTTTCTTGGCGTTGCTTTGCATTGCTTGGCGTTGCTTGGCATTATTTGGCATTGTTCGGCGTTGCTTGGCGTTTCTTGGCATTGTGTAGCGTTGCTTGGCAATACTTGGCGTTACTTGGCATTGCTTGGCGTTGCTTGGCATTGCTTGGCGTTACTTGGCATTGCTTGGCGTTGCTTTGGCATTGCTTGGCATCGTGGGGGATTTTCTGGCGTTCATTTGTATGTGTTGACATTGGTTGGGATTGGTTTGCATTGCTTGTTGCTGGTTAGCATTGCTTGGCATTGCTTGGCATTGCTCTGGATCGTTTGGCATCTCTTGGTCATTGCCAGTTTATGCTTGGCATTGCGTGCAATTGCTTGACATGGTTTTGCGTTGCTTTGCGTTGCTTGGTGTTGATTGGCGAGCAACGCAGAGAGGCCCCGAGGAACCCCAGGCAACGTCGAGGGCTGAGGACCCCCGAGGAACCCCGAGGGAGGCAGCCGGGAGCCAAGACCAAGGAACCCAAGCAACGCCGGGCGCCGCCAACGCAAGGAACCAAGACTAAGGAACCGGGCTGCGCCGAGCGCCGCTCGTTCACAGGCGAATGGGACCCCCTGAGGAAAAACCTGAGTGAGGAACAATGATGGCTGGGGCAGGCCCTTCCACTCTCTCCAGTCCTGGCCAGCTTCCTTTTTTGGAGCTTGTCCAGCTCAGGCGACCTCATCCCTCGTATTAGCCACTGCAATTTGTTCCAGCCCTGGCCACTTTAGGGGAACGAAGAATGACATAAACATACCAACTCGGAGGTCCACTCTCTGTTCCCCTACACTTCCACTTCCACGGAGTTTCGAACTTCCACTTTTTCTTGTTCCCCTGTATGACCACGCGAGAGAGACATGTCCACAGTGCGAAGCCAGTAGCAGCGCGGCCACAGGCGCCAGGCCGCGGGAGCCCAGCTCGAGGTCGCGAGGTCTTGGCAGAAGCATGCTGACTGAGATGCTAATGCGTGCTTGCGGGCGGCAGTGTCCCCTGGCGGATTCATATGGTTAGGTTAGCTGTGGCGCCGATTTCGGCGGCACGCCCGGGTGCCCTGGTGCCCAGGTGCCCGCTGGCCCGGGTGCCCTGTAGCCCTATAGTCTTATAGCCCTATGGCCCTATAGCCTACAGCCCTATAGCCCTATAGTCCTATAGCCCTATAGCCCTATAGCCTTATAGCCCTAATAACCCTATAGCCCTATAACCCTATAGCCCTATAGCCCCATAGCCCTATAGCCCTACAGCCTTATAACCTTGTAACCCTATAGCCCTAACAGCCCTATAGCCCTATAGCCCTATAGCCCTATAGCTCTATTGCCCTAGAGCCCTATAGCCCTATAGCCCTATAGCTCTGTAGTCCTATAGCCCTATGGCCCTATGGCCCCAGAGCCTTCTAGCCCTATAGCCCTATAGCCCTACAACCCTATAGCCCCATAGCCCTATAGCCCTAAGATTACCCTGGCGACGTACGCAACCCTTGCGCAATGCGGGACATAAGTACATCAGGATTGCTACAACGGGGGCGATGACGTAACATGAGCGCCTGTGATTTTGCGAGCATCAATCGGAAGGCGCGCAGGCCCCCGATCAAGATATAAGGGCGTCGTAGTGGTTACTACCGCAGCCCCCCCCCAGGGACGGCGAGGTCTCGCTCAGGTCCCCGCGGTGCCTCACTCCGCAGGACCCACCAGCAGCCCTCGAACGTGGCGACAGTTTCGCAGATCGCAGCCCCCAGGGACGGCGAGGTCTCGCTCAGGCCCCCGCGGTGCCTCACTCCGCTGGACCACTAGCAGCCCTCGAACGTGGCGACAGTTTCGCAGATCGCAGCCCCCCAGGGACGGCGAGGTCTACCTCAGATCCCCGCGGTGCCTCACTCCGCTGGACCCACCAGCAGCCCTCGAAAGTGGCGACATTGTCGCAGATCGCAGCCCCCCCAGGGACGGCGAGGTCAGGCTCAGATCCCCGCGGTGCCCCACTCCGCTGGACCCACCAGCAGCCCTCGAAAGTGGCGACAATTTCGCAGATCACAGCCCCCCATGGACGGCGAAGTCTCGCTCAGATCCCCGCGGTGCCTCACCCCGCAGGACCCACCAGCAGCCTTCGAAAGTGGCGACAGTGTCGCAGATCGCAGCCCCCCAGGGACGGCGAGGTCTACCTCAGATCCCCTTGGCGCTTCACTCCGCAGGACCCACCAGCAGACCTCGAAAGTGGCGACAGTTTCGCAGATCGCAGCCCCAAAAGGACGGCGAGGTCTCGCTCAGATCTCCACGGTGCCTCAGTCCGCTGGACCCACCAGCAGCCCTCGGACGTGGCGACAGTGTCGCAGATCGCAGCCCCAACAGGACGGCGAGGTCTACCTCAGATCCCAGCGGTGCCTCACTCCGCTGGACCCACCAGCAGCCTTCGAACGTGGCGACAGTGTCGCAGATCGCAGCCCCCCCAGGGGCGGCGAGGTCAGGCTCAGATCCCCGCGGTGCCCTACTCCGCTGGACCCACCAGCAGCCCTCGAAAGTGGTGACAGTTTCGCAGATCGCAGCCCCCCAGGGGCGGCGAGGTCAGGCTCAGATCCCCGCGGTGTCCCATTCCGCTGGACCCACCAGCAGCCATCGAACGTGGCGACAGTGTCGCAGATCGCAGCCCCCCAGGGACGGCGAGGTCTACCCCAGATCACCGCGGTGGTGCCTCACTCCGCATGACCCACCAGCAGCCCTCGAACGTGGCGACAGTGTCGCAGATCGCAGCCCCCCAGGGACGGCGAGGTCTACCTCAGATCCCCGCGGTGCCTCACTCCGCTGGACCCACCAGCAGCCCTCGAAAGTGGCGACATTGTCGCAGATCGCAGCCCCCCAGGGACGGCGAGGTCTACCTCAGATACCCGCGGTGCCTCACCCCGCTGGACCCACCAGCAGCCCTCGAAAGTGGCGACAGTGTCGCAGATCACAGCCCCCCAGGGACGGCGCGGTCTACCTCAGATCCCCGCGGTGCCTCACTCCGCAGGACCCACCAGCAGCCCTCGAAAGTGGCGACAGTTTCGCAGATCGCAGCCCCCCAGGGGCGGCGAGGTCTACCGCAGATCCCCGCGGTGCCTCACTCCGCTGGACCCACCAGCAGCCCTCGAACGTGGCGACAGTTTCGCAGATCGCAGCCCTCCAGGGATGGCGAGGTCCGCACAACGCATGAGGAGACAAGAGGGGAGCGGGAGACGGTTGGCGGGAGGCGGGAGGAGAATTGGAGACCGCAGTGTTCCATTCAGAACGAATGCCCAACCAAGGAGGGTTGGGACACATTCTGATTTGGTTTTTCCTGTATAATCGTGTTCAAAGGAAGTTCGGTGATTTTGGTTCGGGTCGTGTGGCTTACAGTGGGGGCCCATGCCAAGAAACTATATGCTTGCCTCCAGGGTGCCCTGGGTTTCCTGGGTTTTTCGCTGGTTTTGCCACGGGAAGCGTGGCGTTTTTACACAAAAAATCGATGGACGTCCTGGGGTGGGTTGGGTTGCTTGTGGACTGGCCTCCATTGTAATGTGGGGCTATCTTGCGGGGCAAGCCGTCACACGGGGGCGTCCGCGGTTCAAGTAGTTTCGCTTCAGAGTGTTGTTGTTTTTGCTGGGTTTCGTTCGTTGCTCGTGCTTGTTAAGTTGTTGCTTCGGCGATCC